GATCGAATTACCAGACAAAGCTCAAGGCTAAGAAATCAAGTTCAGCTCCTCTGAATGAATCGGGAACCAATTTTTCTATCAAATCGACGCTGCCGCGTTTAAAAATCCGATCATTTTCGGGCGCATTTGAAGACTGGCCATCGTTTCGAGACATATTCTTGTCTATCGTTGGCAATAATCCGTCTATCTCAAACGTAGAAAAGTTTAAAGCATTAAAGCATTACTTGGAAGGATCCGCGGAGGCATTGATACGTCCGTTGGCCGTAACCGGAGACAATTATTCGCGCGCGTGGGCGCTGCTGTGCAAGCATTACGAGAACAAAAAGGAGTTGTCGCGCTCCAATTTTTGCACGTTCACCGCAGTGCAGAAAATGAAAGGCGATACCGCCGAGGAACTTAGCCGCATTTACAATGCCGCGATCAGTGCCGTGAACGGCCAAGAAAGTATAGGGAGACCAATTGATTCACATGGCTTCGATCTTTTCAATCACTTCGTCATCGAGCTTTTCGACCCGAAAACGCGCCTCGAGTGGGAATCACACACGAGCGATTCCACGGACTTGCCAGATCACGACACGTTGTTGGACTTCATCATGAAGCGAACTCTGAGTCTCAAGGCCGCAAAACCAAGGGCCACTAAGGTCTTTGGAGATCCGCGAATCGCGAAATCGCACATCGCCAAACGTGTAGCCGACACTCCCGGTTGCGTTCTGTGCAGAGGTCGGCATAACGTAATAATGTGCGAACAATTTAAGTCGAAATTCGCATCCGAGCGAAAGTCCGTCGCTGAACACATCGATTATGCTACAATTGTCTCGGTTCGCACCCAATCGCGAAATGCCAGTCAACGAAGACGTGCTTTTCGTGCAAGGCGAGACATCACACACTCTTGCATGAAGCGTACGTCACTGCGAAACCCGCCGACGCAAGCGTGTTGACCGCTGTGCGCCAAGATAACGAGTGCAAGGCTATTCTACTCGCTACCGCGAGAATTACTGTTGATGATCGCCACGGGGATCCACACCCGGTTAGAGTCCTGATCGATCAAGAATCGGAAGTGTCCTCCCCGGGGCCTGAGCCCAGCGCTTCCGCCTGCCGCGATTCCGCGCGGCAATCTCAATTTTCGGCATCGGCGGCTCACCCTCGGGTTCCTGTCGCGGGAAAGTATCTCTCAATCTCACCTCCAGGATCAATGGAGCTCTAGTCACCGCTGTTGCTTTCATCCTGCCACGTCTCTCGCTATATCAAGGAGCAGCTACGATATAAAACTACATGGCCTCACATTGACGGTCTCCAACTGGTCGATCCGCAATTCTCAGCCGCCGATCCCATCGAGCTGTTGCTCGGCGCGGAAGTGTGCTTTATCATTCTGCAAGAGGGTCTGCGAAAGGGCGATCCGCATACTCCCGTCGCTCAGCATACCCTGCTCGGATGAGTTATTTCGGGAGGCTGCGGTGAGAATCTCTCAGCGACTCCACACCGCTCCTTCCAGTGCACCGCCGACCACGAGCTGACCACGCGCTCGTGCAATGTTTTTGGGAGCAAGAGAAGGAACCTTCCGCCTCAGTGTCCATCACGTCAGACGAGCAACGATGCGAGGAACTCTTTGCTCGAACTCACAGCCGCATCGATGCAGGGAGGTACGTTGTGCGACTGCCATTTGCCGCGCCACCAGCAGCACTCAGTGACACCCGCCAATCAGCCGAGCGACTGCTCACCGCCATGGAGCGACGATGCGACCGCGACGTTCGATTCGGACTTCTGTACCACGCCTTTCTAAAAGAATACGAAGAGTTGCATCACATGGAGGTAGTGCCATCGGAATCTCAGGCAAGATGCCTACCTGCTCACCATGGAGTGCTCCGAGAATCAAGCTCGTCGACCAAACTCAGAGTAGTATTCAACGGATCTCAGAGTACAAGATCCGGTAAATCACTAAACTCCCAGCTGTTGGTCGGCGCTAACTTGTTGCCATCGCTCGCCGATGTGCTAATCCGCTGGCGATGGCACCGATACGCGATCGGGACGGACATCGAGAAAATGTACCGCCAAATCCTCATGGCGCCCGAGGACAGAGATTACCAACGCATTCTCTGGAGTCACTCACTCAACGATCCGGTTCGCGAGTACCGATTGAACACGTGACATACGGTCTGTCGTGCACGCCATTTCTTGCTATCCGTACTCTTCGTCAGCTCGCCGACGACGAAAACGCAAGATTTTCGCGAGGTTCCGCCGTACTGAGACACGACTGCTACGTCGACGACATTGTGACCGGAGCACATACGAAAAACGAGGCGAAACAATCCGAGCTCCGTCAGCTGTGTCGAGCGGGTTCCCGCTGAAAAAATGGGCCGCCAGTCATTCTGAAATTCTCGTCGATATTCCTGCGAATCACTGTCTCGCGGATTCGCGGTCGTGGGAACACGAGGGTCATGCAACACTGGGCTTGCAGTGGCACCCGGTGGACGATACCTTCGCATTTTCCATTCAAGAACCATTGAGAATTTCACCAAGAGGAAGGTTCTTTCAGAGACCGCGCGTTTATTTGATCCGCTCGGATGGTTGTCACCAGTAGTGATCCGCGCAAAAATCTTACTTCAATCAGCACGGTTGCAGAAGCTGGACTGGGACGCCCCGCTCCCTCGAGCAGACGCCTGCCATTGAAGTCGTTTCCTGGAGGAACTCCCAAGGCTTGAACAGCTTAGAATCAATCGCTGGTTGAACATAGACGCCAAGGACGCGAAAGTCGAACTGCACGGATTAGCCGACGCGTCCGAACGAGAGTACGCAGCCGTGGTGTACCTTCGTGTTCATCAGCACTGACGATGTCAAGGTTCTCCTACTAGCAGCAAAGAGCAAGGTCGCTCCAATCAAGCCGCGATTGGAGCTGTGCGCCGCCGCCTTGCTCATGAAATTAGTCGCACACACACAC